GAAGTTTGAGTCCCGGTAGACTTCTCAGGCAAAGTCCGGGTAGACTTCTCAGGCAAGAATACTGGAGTGGGTTTCCATGTCCTTCTCCAGGGAATCTCCCTGACCCAGGGATCAAATGCACATCTCCTGCATTGTCAGGCGCATTCTTTACCTCTGAGCCACCAGGAGAGTGCCTCTACCACTCTAAACCTTGATGATTCCAGGGAGCATTTGAAAAACATTGACCCTTCCAAAAATAAAAAGGTAGGTTTTCCATCAACTAGGGAGAATGGGCAGTGGTGGTGGTGGTGGTGATAGTGGTATAGAAATGGAGATTAAATGGAGTTACCAAAAATAAAGTTATATTTCCCACACAATGGTGTTTGCAGATTTGTGCACCAAGATTTGTATAAAATTCCAGAATTTGTGATGTCTTAAGGCAATAGTTTAAAACATTAACTCTTGTGGTTTCACTAGAAATGTTGACATAGATGCGGGGGTCGGGGGTAGGCAATAGGAGAAAATCAGCATAAACCTCGAGTATCTTGGAATTTGCTACCTTCAGTGTCTATTGGCATCCTTTCACTTGCTCATGAAAATTAAATGAACCAGGCTGGCTTGATGAGCAGCACACAAGAAAGATGTTCTGCAAATGTGCTTACTAGGCTGTGAGGCTGGAAGCCTCCTTTCCCCCAGCTTTTCTCCTTCCCTAAAATCTTTTTTCATTTGTCAGTGCCTTTATTTTTTTTTAGCTGCATTTAAAATGTTTTTTTTATTATTTCTGCATGAGTAAGACTATGTGTCATTTCAGCCTCCTTGTCAGCTTCTGTTTCACTTTCATTAAATTTGTTGATTGAGTGTGAAGGAGGAGGCACCGTCATCATTTTCAGATTTTGTTCTTATTGGCTAGATCTCTCTTGGAGCAATGCTGTGATCTCTACTGCAGTTTTGTAATAATGCTCTGGAAAGATAGGGTGAGACAAGGAAAGGCACTTTATCCCTTCCTTCTCTCTTTCTGTGGCTTCAGAGAGGCAGTAAAAGAGGGGAGGAGGATACTTATGTTTCCCCTCCCTTCATTCATTCTTTCATTTCCCATCACATATGTTTACCAGCACTTTCTGGCTGGCAGACACTGCTTTGGGAGCTGGAGGTACAACGGACAACAAAAACAGGGCTGGTTCCTGCCCTCATGGAGCCTATGGTCTGGTGGTGAGATAGACCTTTTTTTTTTTTTTAATTTTAAAAAATTATTTATTTATTTGACTGTGCTGGGTCTTAGTTGCAGCATGCCAGATCTTTTAGTTGTGGCATGTGAACAGTTGAGGCATGTGCCATCTAGCTCCCTGACTAGGGTTAGAACCTGGGCCCCCTGCATCGGAAGTCAAGAGTCTTAGACGCTGGACTACCAAGAAAGTCCCAAATTTATCCTCTTAATAATTTTTTAATTTTTAAAAATACTTATTTATTTCAGCTGTGCTGGGTCTTAGTTTACAGCAGGTGGGATCTAGTTCCCTGACCAGGGATCGAACCCAGGCCCCCTGCATTGGGAGCTCAGAGTCTTAGCCACTAGACCAGGGAAGCAACCCAATAAAGATTCCAAAGATTCTCAGGACCAGGGAAGTCCTGAGACAGACTTCAATCAAACAAAACATGAATTAGTGTCTAGTTACCCCTAAAAATCCAGATCTAATTGAGCTGGAGAAAGGTCCAGGCATCAGAAATTTTATAAGCTCTGTAGGTAATTCTAACAGGCTTCCAGGGCTGGGAATCACTGGGCTAGATCACACAGTTCTAATCAAGCACCATGAAGCATTTTTATTTACCTTTCAACAATGGTGAAGTTACTGAAAAGAGGTGGTATAGTAAGGTTTGAGTATTATTATTTTTAATAAGCTTTATTTTGAAATAATTACAGATATGCATAAAGTTGTAAGAAATAATACAGAGAGATCCTATTTCCCCTTTACCCAGTTTTCCCCAATGGTCACATGTTGCAAAACTGTTGATATAATACAATATCACAGCCAAGATACTGTCACTGATACAGTCAAGTACAGAATATTTTTAACACCATAAAGATCCCTCCTGTTGCCCTTTGATAGCCATGCAAATTCCCTCATATCCTCCCAACTCCTGGTGATCATTAATGCAATCTCTATACTTTTGTCATGTCTAAATCTTGTCATTTTCAACAATATTATAGAATGGAATCACACAGTATTTAACATTTTGGGATTGCCTTTTTCCTCTCAGCATAATTGCCTGGAGATTCATAAAGGTTGCTGCATGTATCAATGGTTTGTTCCCTTTTCACTGAGTAGCAGTAGTCCACGGTACGAATGTACCGCAGTTAAACCATTCTTACATTAGAGGACATGGGGGTTGTTTCCAGTGTTTGAAGATTATAAATGGAGCTGCTAAACATTCATCTGAATGTAAGTCTTTATTTCTCTGGGATGAAATCTCAACATTGTAATTGCTGTGTTATATGATATTAATGTGTAGAATCTGTCATTCATAAAGAAACTATCAAGTTGTTCCAGACTGGCTGCACCATTTTTACATTCCCAACAGTAAAGAATGAATGATTCTGTTTTTCCTCATTTTCATCAGCAAGTAATGTCACTATTTTTTTTTAATTTAAACTATTCTGATAGGTATGGACTTCCCAGGTGTCACTAGTGATAAAGAACCTGCCTGCCAATACAGGAGATATAAGAGACACAGGTTTGATCCCTGGGTCAGGAAGATCCCCTGGAGGAAGGCATTGCAACTCACTCCAATATTCTTGCCAGGAGAATCCCATGGACAGAGGAGCCTACAGTGGGCTACAGTCCTTGGGGTCAAAAAGAGTCAGACACAACTGAAGTGACTTAGCAGCAGCAGCATTCTGATAGATATACGGTAATATCTTGCTGTGGTTTTAATTTGCATTTTCCTAATGACTAATGGTGATTGCAGCCATGAAATTAAAAGATGCTTACTCCTTGGAAGGAAAGTTATGACCAACTTAGACAGCATATTAAAAAGCAGAGACATTACTTTGCCAACAAAGGTCCGTCTAGTCAAGACTATGGTTTTTCCAGTGGTCATGTATGGATGTGAGAGTTGGACTGTGAGGAAAGCTGAACGTCGAAGAATTGATGCTTTTGAACTGCGGTGTTGGAGAAGACTCTTGAGAGTCCCTTGGACTGCAGGGAGATTCAACCAGTCCATCCTAAAGGAGATCAGTCCTGAGTGTTCATTGGAAGGACTGATGCTGAAGCTGAAACACCAATACTTTGGCCACCTCATGTGAAGAGTTGACTCACTGGAAAAGACCCTGATGCTGGGAGGTATTGGGGCAAGAGGAGAAGGGGACGACAGAGGATGAGGTGGCTGGATGGCATCACCCACCCGATGAACATGAGTTTGAGTAAACTCCGGGAGTTAGTGATGGACAGTGAGGCCTGGCGTGCTGTGATTCATGGGGTTGCAAAGAGTCAGACACGACTGAGTGACTGAACTGAACTGAACTGAACTGAATGACTAATGAGCCAAGCATCCTTTTGTGTGCTTACTTGCCTTTCAAATATGCTCTTTGGTGCAGAGTTTCTTCATGTCTTTTCTATTTTCTAATTAGATTGTTAGATTTTAATGTTAGGTTTGAGAGTTCCCTTTTATATTCCAGGTACTAGTCCTTTTTGTTGAATATGTGGTTTGGAAATACCTTTTGCCATTCTGCAACTTGTTTTTCATCCTCTTAACAGAGTCTTGCAGAGCAAAAGTTTCTAACTGTGATGAAGTCTAACTTTTTTCCTTTTATGAATCATGCTTTTGGTGTCAAGTATAACTCTGCCTAGTCCAAGATCATGAAGAATTTCTCCTATGTGTTTTATTAAAAGTTTTATAGTTTTCTTTTTTACATTTAACTTTTGTAAACCACTTTGAGTTAATTTTTCTGTAAAATGTGAGTTTGGAGTCAAGGTTCATTTTTTTCCCCCTATGAATTTCTCAACACCATTTGTTAAAAATGCTGTCTTTACTCCATTGAATTTCTTTTACATCAGTGTCAAAACATCATTTGTGCACATTTGTGTGAGCCAAACTCTGGGTCTCTCTGTTCTGTTCCATCAATCTACAAGTCTATTCCTCTGCCAGAACCACAGTCTTGACTATAGTGGCTATATAATAAGTACTGAACCTAGGTAGAAGGATATATTTCCTTTTGGTTAGTAATACAAGTTAAGAGAAAATACGGATAGACTGTACAATGGAAACAATTATTCTAGACAGAAGTTTTGTTATTTACCGATATCTCTATGTCCCTAATACATTATTTCTGATAAAGCAAAATGTGATAGGCAAAATTTCTACACACCAATGATTTTATTTTATGAGAGGCCTGTGAACGTGGGGATGTTCAGTTGCTTCAGTTGTGTCTTTGCGACCCTATAGATGGACCTAGATATTATCATACTAAGTGAAGTAAGTCAGATAGATAAATACCATGTGATATCACTTATATGTGGAATCTAAAATATGACACAGATGAACATATATATATGAAACAGAAACAGAGAACAGACAGGCGGTTGCAAAGGCGGAGGGGGTGGGGAAGGGAAGAACTGGGAGTTTTGGGTTAGCAGATGCAAACTATTATGTATAGGATGGATAAACAGCAAGGTTCTACTGTATAACACAGGGAACGACAGTCAATATTCATAATGGAGAAGGATACTTTAGAAAAATGTACATACATCTATCTATGTATAACTGAATCACTTTGCTGTGTAGCAGAAATGAACACAGCATTGTAAATCAACTATACTTCAATAAATTTTCTTTCAAAAGGAATTTAAACCTTTAGTTAACCAAAGGAAGCCTATGAATGAAATTGTGCCACAAATCAAAAGGGTATTAACCGAAAGAGAAGTCCTGATGCCAGTGGGGGGACAGTGAAGATTTTAGGGACCCCTGCCCCACTGCAGAAAGAAGATGCGAGACCAGAGGCACAGAATAGCAGACAAGACGTGGCTCACCTGAGAGATAACAAAGCCTCTTCCAGTAGGGGAGCCGCCAAACAAGAGCTGCATAGTGTTAACAAGGCGGAGGTTTTACCAGAGAAATAGCACTTTCCCTCAAGTAAGCAGCCTGAAGTAGCACACAATAACTAGTAGACACCCTACAGCTATCAAAAAATTTCTGATATCGGCAACTGGGTGACAGACATTCATGTGTAGGTAAGAAAACTGTTAAAATGTATTCACGATGCCGCTTTCCTTTCCTTGGTGCAGTTTGCCCAGGTACTAGGATTTACCTCTCAGAGGCTATTGTTAGATCAAGTAGCCTATTCTATATGTAATATAATATCTATATGTATCATAAGTCTATTATACATATAATATAAATAATAATTTGTTATTCAACAAAAATTCATTTTTAAATTAAAATGCTCTAATGAATAATCACATGGAGCTTCTTCTTCCATTGTCTATATTGGAGTGTCACATGGCTGGGTCTAGAAAACTACAAACAGAAATGTGCATTGTTGACTGTACATTAGAACAACTTGGGGAGATGTGAGAAGTATTCATGCTAGGGGGCCCACTTTAAAAAAATTCTCATTCAGCAAGTCCAAGAAATGTCCAAATTTGAATATTTGTTTTCTAGAGAGACATCACCATACACTGGCTTCCCTAAATGGAATTACTAAACATAAAAGGAAATGATCAGCTGTTGTCGGGTTGCCGTCAAACCTGTGGAGCTGTAAACCTTTAAAGTTCCCAACCTTGCTACTTTTTTCCATCATTTGGAAACTCATAAAAATCTTGAGGTCTAGCTGCACCCACACCAATAAAATCAAAACTCTGGAAAAGGAATTTAGGTATCAGCTTTAAAATATTTATAGACAAGGTCCAGAGTCAGGATTTAAATGAGTGGCTTTATTATTAGAGATGCTCCACAAGAATTAGAACAGGCGGTCCTCAGGTGTTGGTCCTTATGGAAACTGATTGATCAAAACATTTCTTTAAACTTCTGATCCTCATTGCTTCAGTTCTATTAGCTATCACTCTTCACCGAGGGTTTTTAAAAGGCACTGGTTGCCTAAAGGTACCGGTCATTTTAATACTCATCATCTGAGACAGTATTCTCAAAGTATGGAGGCTCTTTTACAAATTCATCAGGATTCTGTTGTGGCTAAGTTGTGATGCACAATTATCTCAGCATTGACCTAAATTAGACCTCTAGCAGGGAATTTCAAGTCTATAATTTACTGCATGCTTGTGCAGTTAAAGGACAGAACTGTTTTATGAAATAGGCAGTAATGAACACAAGAAGTCTCATTTTGAACAAACAGATATTGCTAAACACATGACCCTAATTAACAAATTTGCTAACAGTTCACTATTTTTAGGAACAACAAGCTGAGCATAGCATTAAATCTGTGACATAGGTTCCAAATTTAAAAAGAAATATTTCTTTGTAAGCAAATGATTTTTTTTTAATAGTAGAAAGCCATTTTCCACGGGCATTGTTCAGAGTTGCTTTGGTTTTTTTTCAGAGCGGTCAACACATTTTATAATATCCTTGAAAATCATTTTAACTCAGTTTATTCCAATGCATGGACAGACCATAAATATAGCTTTGTCTGAGTACTAGTAGTGAAAGAAAAACAGCATCACATTTATGAAGATACCTGATAACTTGAATTTCAAATTTAAAGAAAGAAAAACAGATAGAAATGCACTCAGTTTTAATGTTTACCTTTAACATGGATGGTCCTAAGCAAAACTTGGAAGTAAATCTAGATTGGTTTGTAGTTTCCCTACACTTCTGGGAGCCTGATCAGTTGCTTTGAGCCTTTTTTTTTTTTTCTGCTTCTCCTCTCTTTTTCAGAACTGATAACCTCCCCTCTCAAATCTTACCTCTAAAAAGAAATCAAATCTGTATTGTTTATCTGTTCCCTAATAAAAATGTTCTTTTTCTAATAAAAGCCCTCCCAAGGATATTAGCATTTTAAGATTTTCTTCATTATTCTTATAACAATAATAATGGTAGTGCTTGTTGTTAAAAAGGAACAGTCATACCCTGAAGGAAATGAGTTAGAATAATATTGAATCAGGAAATTTTTTTGTGCTCCCAGCCAGTAATGCTTGGGGGAAAAAAAAAAAACAACAACCCATTACATATACTTACATCTTAAAAAGAAAAAAGAATTACTACACAAATGCCTTGTTGTGCCAAAAGGAGGAAAAACAAATTTAGAATGTGCGTGTGTGTGCGTGTGTGTGTACATATATATATATATATATTTGTGGATTTAAAGATGCTCCTCAGACTACCGTCTAAAATGCATGACTCAGAGAAAAGAGATCTGGGAGCTCAAAGAAGCAGCAATTATTATGAATTCATAGAGGTGGTGATGATTCCATGGAGATGGTAGGATACAAATTAGACATTTATGGGAAGGAAAATTTCATTTAACAGTTCAGTCCATCTGTACATTTGATTTCATGCAGACTGAACATCTAGATGATTGACTTATTAAACCTATGACAAAATGAATGTGAGGTTTTTGTTGTTTTTACTTTAAGAGATGACATGTTGGAAAAAATTGAGGAACTATTTCCTCAGAGGCAGAGATCTTTAGACATGAGGAGATATTAAAGAAGTGAATTTTAAGATGCTTCAAAGAAAGAAAAACAGCAATAGAAATGCACTTGATTTCAATTTTTTACCTTTAACATGGATGGCCCTAAGCAAAGTGGGAAGTATATCTAGATTTGTTTGTAGCTTCCCTACCCTTCTGGGAGCCTAATCAGTTGCTTAAATAAGACTATCCTTTAAGCTTAGTCGTTTAATAAATTTTGATTCTTGCTGCCTTCTCCTTTAGTTTGCACATAAATTACCTCCTTGTAGCACCCTATAACTTCACTCCCTTCTCCAGACTTCTCCAAGATTATTTAATGACCTACCTTTTTCTCTTCTACCTTCACTGACAATATCACCTCTACTTCTAAGTCACTGCCTCAACTCTGCAGTCTGACCACTGCTACCACCATGCTGACAACATTACTCTTCATAAAAGAATGTTGAGGGCTATCTCTCTAGAAATGTTAATTTAAACCAAGGCTCATTTCTATCTCCCCATTTCAGTCCACCCCCTGAAGAGATGTCTCAGCCTCACTGTCTAATTTTAGCTGAGGAACGACTGTAGATTAAAATGAATTAGTAAGAATGAAGATACTTTTAGCAAAATTTTAAAATATTATTCCTCTACATGTTGTATCTAGGAATACTCAAATTATTAATTGCATTTGTGATAAGCATATGAATCGCTAAATGAAACATGTTAATATGTTAACTGTTCAAAAAAAAAAAGACATCTTGACATGTCAAGATACATAATGAAAGGGGAGGCAGAAACTTAGAACCAGAGGCAGAAAAAAAGAGAGGAAGACAACAGACACAACTCTGGTGGATGGGGAAGGCTCACCAAGAGGAGGAACCTGCAAAGCATACATAGCGGGACAATCATAAGGCAAGGTTGACTGAAAGACTGTCCTGTTATGAGGAGCCCATGAAGGAGCAAATATAAAGCTCTCCTTTCTGTCCCACCCAGGCTCAGAACAGCACTGCTGTTTCTACTCCCAGACATTCCCAGTGTTACTGCAAGTTCACACCAAGAATTATTCCTGGGACCCTCGCTGTCATCATTACACAATTTGATCCCACTCCACTGTTAGGAATTTGTCTCTTTCTTTCTCTTCCCCATCTGAAACTCTGGCTAAAGGAAACACTCGTGGCCCAAATATGCACCATATTTTCCCATCTTTAGGTCTCTGCTTAGTATTGACCCCACCTAAAATGTCTAGCCTCATCATTTCTACCCATCCTTCAAGCCCAGCTCAACTCTTTAATGGGTAAATGAATAACTGAACAGAAGCTTAAGGACAATCTTGATCACAGTCACGTAGCCTAGATTCTCTGTATGGCCTGAAGTCCACCAGCAGTGCTGTCCTTTGAATATATCACCACTACACATTTTTAATCAGTACTCATAGCAATTCCCATAGCTTCATTTACCAAATGTCAAAGGGAAAATATGTACCCAAAGTTCCCATACCCAAACCGTATTGCTTTTGCAAATATAGCAGTAATCAAAAAGTGCTCAAGTTTCCCTTCTGAGCTACAAAGTCAATGTCCTGCCTGCCCTTCACCCCTTAGTTCTATGTTTTCAACTTTCTCCTCTCTTTCTTGTTCATTTACCGATTTTAGTACCTTTCCTGCTACTAGTTTGTGTGACATAATCCTGTAGGGAATCAAGTTCATGCTTCCAATTAGATTCATTACAAGTTCCCTTAAGAAGCGATTAGAAAGGCAGAATCCCAAGTGGCAGATTCCCTCAGCAATCCCAGCATCATTTTCAGGGTGTTTGCCAACACCAGACCAGGTTTTAAATACCACACTTACCACTCTATCACCAAGGGATCCTGGGAAGCTTGTAAAATTGGGAGTGCAATTGTGCTTTACTGGAAGCCCTCATATGGTGATAACAAAGAAAGGAGAAATGTGAAAGCTTCATGGATAGGTGGTTTGGAGTGGTGTTTAATCAGTGCATGTCCCTATAGTCAGTGATGCTGGGCTTAAACTTCAGTGACACAACTCACTAGCTATAAGATTTGGGATTACTTAACATCTCTGAGACTCAATCTTCTTATCTGTAAAATGGGTATAATGATAGCACTTTGGAGAATTAAAGTCTGCCAACAATAGTTGGTTTATAGTATTCAAATAAATAAAAGCTACTCATCACCATGAAAAGTGACAATCTAGGGAATCATGAATTGCCTCTGATTTCAAAACCATGACCTTGCAGTTGCAAAGCTATTTGTAATCACTTCAGACAATAAAGAAGATGGAAAAAAGGGAAGGAAATGGGAAAGAGGTTTGCCTATTCTCGTGACTCCAGGCTCTCACTGTTGCCCAACTCTTTATACAAGTATAATTGAGGTAATATTGTGAGAATATTTTTCTTTACTTTCCTTTATAAATCTGGTTTCCTGCAGCCATTCCGCTAGTAGAGCCTGAG